AGAAGTAACAATTTTAAAGACCTCACAGCAAAGTGGGGAGCACAAGAGAAAGCTTTCCAAGGATTCCATCTGGATATAGGCATGGAGGGAACAGGCTCTTGTGTGGACTCCTTCTTTGTAGAATGTGACCACTAAGGCTAAGCTCCCAACTACTCCAGACCCTGCAGTCCATTCATGACCTAAAGGCACTTAGGTGTAGCTGCATGCTAAAAAGTTTTATATGTCGTATTTCTTATTGCCTGGTTCTAAATCTTTTCAGCTCCCACTGTGATTCATTCTTTGGGCTATTAGTCAAATGTGGTTTTATGGTTTTACATTTTCAAATGTTTGGTGATTGCTTCTTATTCTGTTGTCACTGCATTTGGTCAGAGAACATGACCAGTGTGATAGAGATTCCTTGGTATTTGTTGAGATTTGGTTTTGTGGGCTGGTAAGGTGTTCATTGTTTGTTAGTAAACATTCCATATATGCTTCAAAATAGTGAATTCTTTAATTTGGGGTACAGGCTTTTTATATGTCTTTAGAATGATGCTTGTTAATTGGGTTCTTCAATTTTTCATAACCTGATTAATTGTAAGACTATCAAATCTATCACATATGAAAGACATATGTTACCATAGTTCTACAACAATAGTTGATGACTCCAATACCCTGTTCTCAATAATGGATAGGACAACCACACAGAAGGTAAGTGAGGAAATAAGGGATTTAAGCAACACAATAAACCAGCTAGATCTAACACACATACAAACATTCTACCAACAACAACAGCAGCATACACATCCTTCTCAAATAAGCATGAGTCACTTTCCAGGATATATCATCTGTTAGGCCACAAATTAAGTCTCAAGTGATTTTCAAGTGCAGGTATCATACAAACTCTTCTCCAACCACAAGAAGATGAAGTTAGAAATTAATAACAGAGGTAAAACTGTAAAATCTGCAAATTTCTGGAAGTTAAACAACACACTCTTAAACAACTAATAGGCCCTAGAAAAAATCACAAGGGAAATAAGAAAGTACTTAGAATGAAAATGAAAATGCAGCAGGCCAGCACATACAGGATGCCACAAAAGCAGTGCCACAGGGGAAATTCATAGTTATAAATGCTTACATTAAAAAACTGGAAAGATCTCAAACCAGCAGCTTAAGTTTACAACTTAAGGAGCTAGAAAAATAAAAATAAACTAAATCCAAAGCTAGCAGAAGAAAAGAAATACTGAAGATTACAGAAGAGATAAATGAAATAAAGAATTGAAAAACTATAGAGAAAAATCAATAAAACCAAAAGTTAGTTATTTAAAAGATCAACACAATTAACAAATCTTTCACTAGATGGTCTAAGTAAATAGCGAGAAAACTCCAGTTACTAAATCAGAAATGAAAGTGGACACATTACTACAAACTCTATAGAAATAAAAATAATTTACAAGAGAGTACTATGAACAATTGCATGCCAACAAATTGGATAACATGTATGAAATGAACAAATTCCTAGAAAAATAAAATCTGAGAAACAAGTAAATCAGGAATAAGTAGAAAGTCTTAACAGAATTTTAAGTAATGTGGGGATTGAATCAGTAATCAAAAATCTGACAAAGAAAAGCCCTGGACTTGATGACTTCACTGGCAAATTCTCCCAAATATTTGATGAAGAATACCAACTCTTTTCAAACTCTTCAGAAACACTGAAGGCAAAGGACTACTTTCTAACTCATTCTATAAGGCCAGCATTATCCTGATAGCAAAGCCAGACAAAGACATTATAAGAAAAGAAAACTGGGCTGAGTGTGGTGAATCGTACCTGTAATCCCAGTATCTTGGGAGGCTGAGACAGGAGGATCACTTGGAACCAGGAGTTCAAGAATAGCCTGGGTGACACAGTGAGACCCCGTTTCTACAAAAAATAAAATAAGCTGGTGTGGTGGTGCATGCCTGTAGCCCTAGCTACTTGGGAGGCTAAGGTGAGAAGATCCTTTAAGCCCAGAAGTTCCAGGCTGCAAAGAGCCATGATCGTACCACTGCATTCCAGCCTGGGCAACAGGAAGGACAGGAAGACCCTGTCCCTAAAACACAAAAAAATTTTTTAACAAAAACTACAGACTAGGGCCAGGCACAGTGGCCCATGCCTGCAACCCCAGCACTGTGGGAGGCCAAGGTAGAAGCTCAGGAGTTCAAGACCAGCCTGGGAAACACAGGGAAACCCCATCTCTACACAAAAATACAAAAAGTAGCTGGGGATGGTAGCATGTGCCTGTAGTCCCAGTTACTCTGGAAGCTGAGGTAGGAGAATGGCTTGAGTCAGGAGGTATAGGTTGCGGTGAGCCAAGGTTGTGTCACTGTGCTTCAGCCTGGGCAACAGAGCAAGACCCTGTCTCAAGCAAAACAAAACAACTAAAGAACTAATATCCCTGATGAATATAGATGCGAAAATCCTTAGGCTGGGCGTGGTGGCTCACGCTTGTAATCCCAGCACTTTGGGAGGCCGAGGCAGGTGGATCACGGGGTCAAGAGATCGAGACCATCCTGGTCAACATGGTGAAACCCCGTCTCTACTAAAACTACAAAACATTAGCTGGGCATGGTGGTGCGTGCCTGTAATCCCAGCTACTAAGGAGGCTTAGGCAGGAGAATTGCTTGAACCCAGGAGGCGGAGGTTGCGGTGAGCCGAGATCGCGCCATTGCACTCCAGCTTGGGTAACAAGAGCGAAACTCCGTCTCCAAAAAAAAAAAAAAAAAAAAAAGAAAATCCTCAACAAAATACTAGCAAACCTAATTCAGCATCATATTAAAAGGATTATACACAATGACCAAGTGTGACTTATTCTTGGAGTACTAAGATGTTTCAACATATGAAAATGGATCAGTGCAATACACGACATTACCAGAAGAAGGGGGAAATCCCTCACATAACCATCTGAATTGATGCAGAGGAGGCATTTGACAAAATTCAACACATTTCATGATTAAAAAAAAAAAAGCACTTACCAAATTAGGAATAAAAGGAAACTGCCTCCACATTACATCATAAAAGAATATAAGAAAAACCCACAAGGAAGGGTGTCTGTTTCCCCACTGCTATTCAGCATAGTACTAAAAGTGCTAGACAGGGCAATTAGGCATGAAAAAGAAATGAAATAATAAATGAATTCAGCCAAGTAGTAATATACAAAGTCAATACATTGTTCATGCTAACAATAAACAGTCTGAAAAGGAAATTATGAAAACAATTCTACCTATGGTAGCAGCAAAAAAAAAAAAAATTAGGCATTAGCTTAATCGAGGAGGTGAAAGACTTCTATACCGACAACTACAAAAAATTGCTGTAAGAAATTAAAGAAGACATAAATAAATGGAAACACATCCAATGTTTTTGCATTGGAAGATGTCAATAGTACTCAAAGTGATCTACAGATTTAATTCAATCCTGTCAAAACCACAAAGCCTTTTATTTTTTCAGAAATGGAAAAACCTATCCTAAAACTTACATGGAATTTGAAGGAATCCCAAATAGCAAAAACAATCTTGAAAGAAAAAAAGAAAGTTAGAGGACTCACACTTCCTGATTTTAAAACTTACTTCAAAGCTACAGTATTCAATAATTTAGTAATCTGGTAAACTCAGTATAAAGCTACAGTAGTCAAGAATACAGTAATCTACAGTCTGTCCTTATGCCAGTATGGTACCCTTGACCTACATATCTATCTTTACGCCAGTACCACATTGGCATAGAGATAGACACATTGGTCAATGAAATAGAATGCAGAGCTCAGAAATAAACCTTCATATATATGGTCAAATGATCTTTGACAAGGTGCCGATGCTGTTCAGTGGGGGAAGAAAACAGCCTTTTTGGCAAACCATTCTGGGAAAACAGGACATCAATTTGCAGAAGAATAAAGTTGGACCTTTTGTCTCACACCATATACAAACTACAAAGACCTAAATGTACAACCTAAAACTGTAAAACTCTAAAAAATATTAATAATAAGACAAAGCTACAACATTCGATTTGGCAATATTTTCTTGGATATGACAACAGAAGCACGGGCAAAAGACAACGTCAACAGAGTAAACAGGCAACTTACTAGATAGGAGAAAATAGTTGCAAGTTGTATATGTGATCAGGAATTAGTGTCCTTAATAAGTAGAAAACTCCCAAAACTCTACAATAAAATAACAAGCTGATTAAAAAACAGACACATGACTTGAATAGACATTTCTCTAGATAAGTATTTAAATGGCCAATAAACATATGAAAAAATGCTTGACATCACCATTCGTTAGGCAAATGCATATCTAAACTACAATGAGGCTAGGGTGCGATGGCTCACACCTGTAATTCCCGCACTTCGAGAGGCTGTGGGATTGCTTGAGCCCAGTTCAAGACCACCCGGCACAACATAGTTAGACTCTCCCCTTCCAAATATCTAAAAAAAAAAAATTAAAAATTAGCCAGGCATGGAGGTGTAGTATGCCTGTATTTCCAGCTACACAGGAGCTTGAGGTAGGAGGATCACTTGAGCCCAGGAGGTCAAGTTTACAGTAAGCTATGATTGTACCACTGTACTCCAGCATGGGCAACAGAGTGAGACCCTGTCTCAAAAACAAAAAACAAACAAAACTGCAATGATATACCACCTGACACCATTAGGTTGGTTACTACATTAATTAAACAAACAAATAAACACACAAAAAAACCCAGAAAATAACAATTGTTAGCAAGTATGTGGAGAAACTGAAACCCTTCTGCACCATTGCTGGGAATGTGAAATGTTACATCCATGATGGAAAACAGTATGGTGGTTCCTCAAAAAATTAAAAATAGAATTACCCAGCAACTGAATTTCTGCACATATACCCTAAAGAATTGAAAGCAAAATCTCAAAGAGGTATTTGTACACACATGTTCATAGCAGCATTATTCACAGTAGCTAAAACATGGACGCAACCTGTATTAGTCCATTTTCATGCTGCTAACAAAGACATGCAAGACTGGGTAATTTATAAGGAAAAAGAGGTTTAATGGACTCACAGTTCCACATGGCTGGGGAGACCTCATCATCATGGTGGAAAGGCACATCTAACATGGCAGTAGACAAGAGAAGAGTGCTTGTTCAGGGAAACTCCCCTTTATAAAACCATCAGATCTTGTGAGATTTATTCACCATCATGAGAATAGCATGGGAAAGACCTGCCCCCATGATTCAATTACTTCTCACTGGGTTCCTCCCACAACATGTGGGAATTGTGGGAGCCACAATTCAAAATGAGATTTGGGTGGGGACACAGCCAAACCTTATCACAACCCAAGTGCTTATTGATGGATAAATGAATAAGCAGAATGTGATATAAACAATGGGATACTATTTAGCCTAAAAAAGGGAGGAGAGTCTGACACAGGCTGCAACATGGATGAACCTTAAGGACACTGTGCCAAATGAAATAAGCCAGTTGCCAAAAATACAACTACTACATAATTCCACTTATATTAGGTAGTTAGAGTAGTCAAAATTATAGAAACAGAAAGTATAATGGTGGGTACCAGGGCCAGGGGAAGGGAAATGAGGAATTATTGTTTAATGGAGACAGAGTTTCAGTTTTAAAAGACAGAAAGAGTTCTACATGGATTGTGATGACGGTTGCACATCATGAGTGTATTTACCACCACCAAACTATATATTTAAAATGTTTAAGTTTGTAATTTGAAGTTATATGCATTTCACCACAATTTTAAAAAGTTGACAAAAAGACAGAAGTGAGGGGAGTAATTGTATTGGGGAGAAGGAGGAGGGCAGTTACTGGTGGGGGCTTTGGAGGACTTTTTGACACAGTGTTCTACTTCTCAAACCAAGTGGTAATTACACAAATATTGCTTTGTTTAAAAAAAAAATGACCGTGGCTTTCTTCTTCCTAGAAGCCTGTGTGTTGCCCTCTTGTCTGGCATGCTTTGTTGATAGGAGCTGCCCCATGGGAGAGCCAGGAGCTGAGGGTGCCTCTGCCCAACAGCCCATGAAGCATAAGCGCAGATGCAGACTTCCCCAGGCAAGCCTTCAGATGAGACCACAGATGCTGTGCCAATGTCCTGACTGCAGTCTGGTGAGAAGCCAATATGCAGAGGACTCAATTAAGCCACACCTGGATTTCTGACTCATGGAAATGGTGAAATACTGAATGTTTTTTAAGCTGCCAAGTTTTGGGGAATTTTGCTATGCCCCAGTAGATAACAAATAATACTATGTATAGAATCCTATGTTACTAATTTTATCTTGTGACTTTGAAAAAATAGATATTTGACTATTGCTTGACTTTTATCATTGTAATTGATAAGGCTGCTTTCATGATAACTGCTTTTGACGTAATCTGAGTGGTTTTCTTTTCTTTTTCACTTTAACATTTCTTTTGTATTCTGTAGTTTTACTCCTAAATGTAGGAGCGTAGTTTCATTTTTTGTCCCCAGCTCAAGTCTCACAGTGTTCCCGAATCTTAGGATTCACATTTTTCATCAAGTATAGAACTTTCTTAGTCATTATCTTTATAAATACTGCTGCTTCCTCATTCTTCTAATCATTCAGAATGGAACACTCATAGATGTTTGGGATCTCCTCATTCTGTCATCATGCTCTGCCTCACAGCAGAAGTAACTTCTGCATATATCACAAATTCAGTTTTCAGCTAGGTCTAAATTGCTTTTTAACTCGTCCATTGAGTTAATTTTAGCAAGTACAGTTTTGGGTTCTAGATATTCCCTTTAGCTCTTCAAAACTGCCTATTCTCCCCCCACTCCCTTGGAATCGAATTCTTATTCATTTACTTCTTTTATTCCTGTAATTCTTAACCATGTAAACATGCTTAATTAATGTTCTCTTATTTGCTCAATTTACCTTCTGAAGGCCTTTGGTGGAGGAGTCCATTCCTCCTGTTCACACATCTGCTGACTTCCCTCCAAGTGGTTCTTTCTTTGCATGTTTTGTACTTTATGATTGTAAACTCATCTTCAGTGGGCTTTACGGGTAGGAATTAGAAGGGGCTAGATTGAGAATGTCTATGTGATTTTACTTCTATTACTGTGCCTGCTTCTGTCATGGGCTTTAAGGGTACTACTGGCCTGAGCTCAGGTTTTATATCAAGTTATTTGCTGCAGGGGTGGTAGGGCCTGGACTGTGCAACCTGTGAAAATTCAATACCTAGGCTGGGCATGGTAGCTCATGCCTGTAATCCCAGCACGTTGGGAAGCCAAGGCAGGAGAATCGCTTGAGCCCAGGAGTTCAAGACCAGCCTGGGCAACACAGCTAGACCTTGCCTCAAAAAAGAAAAATTCAGGCTGGGCGCAGTGGCTCATGCCTGTAATCCTACCACTCTGGGAGGCTAAGGCAGGCAGATCAAGAGATTGAGACCATCCTGCACAACATGGTGAAACCCGGTCTCTACTAAAAATACTAAAATTAGCTCAGTGTGGTGGTGTGTGCCTGTAGTTCCAGCTATTTGGGGAGGCTGAGATGGGAGAACTGCTTGAACCTGGGAGACAGAGGTTGCAGTGAGCCAAGCTCATGCCACTGCACTCCAGCCTGGCAACAGAGCTAGACTCCACCTAAAAAAAAAAAAAAAAGAAAAAAGAAAAAATCAATACCTGATGCCTAAAGAGGCTGTGAACCCTGATTATCAATTGTCAACAGAACTTTCTGTCTCACAGAACCACAACAGGCAAGCCAACATGGAACCATTGTATTGTCTTCCTGTTCCTGTGGGCACACAGCTACTCATTCACATCTCTCCTGAGGGTGTAGCCCTTTGAGTGCCTTTGTTCCAGTTCCTGCTTCATGTGGGTCCACGGAGGCCTCATCTCCTTTCCCATGTGAGTGTAGAGAGTTAGACCCTGAGGCTCCAGACCAACACTCTGCTGGGCAGCTGCCCTCGGGCTCTCACACTTCAAGACCTGGTTTTCAGTCTTTTGTTTGTCTCTGGCTCCTGTCACGTCCCTGACCTCCTTGTGAGCTCAGCTCTGCATTAAAAGTTTGCTGTTTCTATCTTGTGTTCACAAGCTCTGTCCTGGGAGGCTTTTGAGGTCACACCATCACAGGGAACGACAGAAGTGGAAATCTGCTTTTGCACGATTTCTAAGATGAATTTCTAGGCTTGTGTTCAGAGCATTTGCCATCCCCTCTGTTCTGGCTTGAATGACTGTCCCCTCCAACGTTCATGTTGAAGTTTGATTGCCATTGTGACGATATTAATAGGTGGGACCTTCGAGAGGTGATTAGGCCACGAGGCCTCTGCCCTCCTCAATGGGCTGGTGGGCTTGCTATAAAAGGAGGGTTCAGCCCCCTTCTCTTTCTCTCTCTCGCTCAATCATCCTTCCTCTTTGCCCTTCTGCTATTCTGCGATGTGACGTCGCAACAAGAAGGCCCTGACCTTGACGCTGGACCTCCCCGCCTCCAGAACCACAAGCCAGCAAGTTTCTCTACACTCTAAGTTATCCAGTCTGTAGGAGTCTGTTACAGCAGCACAGAACGGATGAAGACATCCTCTGTATCATTTTGCAATCCCACGAGACAGGCGTTCTTTTGCACTCATCGCATCACTGACGAAACTGGGCCCTGGAGGGCTTAAGTAACAAGGCAGGTCTGTCGGCTTCTGGAAGGCCTGTCCTGCTGCGGCAGTTTTCAGCTCCCCTGGGCCTCATGGCGCTTCACAGCTCGCAATCATCCTGCAGGGCAGATGTTATTTCTCTTCCCATCTCGTGGCTGAAAACCAAGCCTTGTGGCAGTTAAACAAGTTATGTGGCAGTTTTCAGCCATTGTACTAAAAAATATTTTAGGTAGAAAATGTGGTGGGTGTACGCAATGGTACACCAGTCAGCCTTAAAAGGGAAGACAATTCTGCCACGAATGACAATATGGATGGACCAGAAGGGCGTTAAGTGAAAAAACCAGGCACAGAAAGACAAATACCGCATGATTTCACTTACAGGTGGGATCTACAAAAGTCGACTCACAGAAGCAGAGGGTGGAATGGTGGTTACCTGGGGCTGGGTGGTGATGTTGGTCAAGGGATACATTTCAGCTCCATGGAGGAGTATGATCAAGGGATCTATAGTACAACATGGTGACTATACTTAATAACAACGTATCTTGTGCTTGGTAATTGCTAAGAGAGTAGATTTTAAGTGTTCTCACCACCCCAAAAAACAAGTATGTGAGTTAATGCATGCTAATTAACTTGATTTAGCCAGTCCACAATGTATACATATTTTAAAACAAGTTGTAAACAACAAATATATATAATTATTATTTGCCAATTAAAATAAATACATTTAAAAATATTGTAGGTATTTGTCCATTTTTGTTTCAAATTTACTTGTTCATCATTTTAGTATGAAAAATTTCTTTTTTTTTTTTTTGGCTGGGTGCAATGGCTCACACCTGTAACCCCAGCACTTTGGGGGGCCAAGGTGCGTGAATCACCTGAGGTGAGGAGTTCAAGACCAGCCTGGCCAAGATGGTGAAACCCTGTCTCTACTAAAAATACAAAAAATTAGGGGGGTGTGGTGACAGGCACCTGCAATCCTAGCTACTTGGGAGGCTGAGATAGGAGCATCACTTGAATCCAGGAGGTGGAGGTTGCAGTGAGCTGAGATGACACCATTGTACTCCAGCCCGGGCAACGAGCAAAACTCCATCTTAAAAAATAAAAATGACTGTTTTTTTTTTTCTGTGTGTATGTGACTGACAACCCAGTGGTTTCCTTTAGTACCTTATCAACATTTCCAGGCACTTTCTGTATTTGAGGTATGTGAAGTGATAGGGTGGCCCTTGTCTTGAGCGTGACACTGAACATACAGGCCAATAAACTGGAGGCCTTTGGCTACACACCAGACGCTCTGGGTACTGAGGAGCTCGCCCCCCACTCTGTGCCAGGAAATGGAACAGTAGCCTGGGTGAGTTGGCAGGAGGAACCAGACGCAGTGAACTTCCTGGTTTGTCCCGGTGTCAAGCAACTTGGGGAGTTTTTCTTTCACACGTGCCTGGAACAGAGGAGACTCACATAAATAGCTGCGTTGAATAAATAGAGTCCATTGACATTGAGTCACATGAAGCAGCATTCATCCATCTAAAACGCCAATGCTTCTTTAGGGTGGACTGAGTTTTCCCCCATGGACTGAGTTTTCCCCCAATACTAGGTTGTCCCATGTGATGGGCAAAAAGACTCCATGTGGAAACTGAGGCTGGCTGGGGGAACCCAGGCCTCTGGCATCCCCACCAAGGTGACTCTCCAGCAGCTCCCAAGATAGCCCATCATGTAGGGCAAACGCCAGGAGCCCCTCCTGTGTGCAGGTACATGGCAGGCTCAACCACAGGAGGCTAGGGGACAGGCACATGCTTGGCCAAACCCTGGAGGGCAGTGGGCATCTGTTCATCACAGGGGAGGACTGGAGGCGGGAGAGGCAGGCGGGCCTGCGGGGGTTGGGATGAGCTGTGCACATGGCTTGGCACACCCAAAGCTGAGGTTTCTCCTCAGGCAACAGAGTCACATTTGGGTGTAGGAATCTCGGCTGGAGTTGCCCAACGTGGGGACCAGACAGCGCTGCAGCTGAAACCAAAGCTGGAGAACACAGAAGTTCTTGGAACAAGCCAGGACAGTGGGACGGGGCTGGGGCCAAGCAGACATGATAACGACGCACTAACGAGTTGTGCGGGGGGGGGGGGGGTCCTGGGGGAGACGCTGGATTCCTAGCTGGCCTGCATTGCTCTCTGGTTCTTAGCTGCCTGCGGAATGCCGGGGTGCTCTGCTCCAGCTACTTACGATGTATAACTGTGCAGGAAGTGGATGCTGGAGAGGAACTGCTCTTCTGGACTGAGCTTGCTGCTCATGGCAGCCCCACCTACAGGGCCCAAAGCCTTATTGAAGTTCCTTGCACCTTCTACCACGTGGTTGCCTCTTGAGCTCTGCAAGTCCACCGCGGAGCCAGGAATTTCTCCCCAGAAGCCTCTCTATTTTGTCCACCACCTCCCAGTAAATCACAACCTGACTCGCTGCAAAGGATAGAGTGTCTGGGACCCCCCTGTCCCCAGCTCCCCTGGTGGCAGGGGTTAGCACATCCCTGCGCCCGGCCACCTGCTGCCTCCTCCTGTGTGGGTAACCCCCCCATATAGGCACCGAGGAATGAGAGCTAAGCAGAACCCTGGCACAGTTAGGGCTTGAGGAATAGCTCACTTTATAGTGTTACTACTCAGCTATTTCCTTTTATATAACCCTTTACATAATCATATATTAGTTTATAGAAATAGGGCTTGAAGAATCCCTTTATATAATCCTCTATATATAGTGATATAATAGTTGATAGTATGAGTGCCTAAAGAGTATTTCCCTATATATATATATATATACCTATGATTATATCTTAGTTCATAATCGGAGGAATGCCTAGAGTGGACACAGTGCAGAGCATGACCTTGCTCCAGTTCTTGTGGAAGGCCGCCCTCAGAACGGCAATCCACCTTGGTGACTGTGAGCTCTATCAGCTCTTGCTGCTGTGCTGCTCGAAAAGCATCTTCACATAGAACCCATTGGAAGCTGCCAGAAGGTGGCGGTAACCTTGACAGCTCTGTCACTGCTGTGTGACTTAAAGCATCCTCCTATAAATCTTCTTAGTAGTTTTCCCACAGATAGAAGTATCGCACACTGCACCCTCTTCACTGCACACCGCCCATCTTCAAGCCTCGGTGACCTAATGGGGGTGGACCCCTCACTGCACACGGCTCTTGCCTTCATGGGAACAGGCCCCTTGCTGTGCACTGTCCACCTCCTGGCCTAGGTGACCTAATGGGGGTGGACCCCATGCTTTATTGCTCACGACCCTATCACTATCCTTAAACATAATTTCACTCACTGCCCTGCCCCCTAACCTATGCACAATAAATACTCATGCTTCTGGACATTCGGGGCCTCGCCTGACTCCGCTTATAGGTGGCGTGGACCCCCGAGCCCAGCCGCGTTTTTCTTGTACTTCTGTGTCCTGTCTCTTTATTTCTCGGATCCTGTGCACAGCATAAGGCTCACCCCACGACCCTGTGGGGCACTCAGCCCTACATCTAGCGCCCAACGTGCTCTACACTCCTGGGCTGCCGGTCCATGCCCAGTGGACAGGAAAGCCCAGCGAGGTCCCACCAACCACACTGTCCCCTCCCGGCAGCCTCACCTGGGTCCCTCCAGCTGCAGCCCCTTGTCCCCTGCACCCATGCCTAGCCTTGGAAGTTGCGGCTCACTTTTCTGGAATATTCTTTTCTTAGATCTCTGCAAGACTGCCCCTACCCCTACAAGGGCTCCACACATGTTCCCTCCTTCATGACTCCCACTGGGCTTCCCCGGCAGAGCCCCCCCCCCCAAAGCTCTGGTGCCACCTGCCAGGCTTCCTCCAGGCCACAGCTCGGCAGCCCGCCTCTGAGAGAGAACAGAAGTGGCCCGCAGGGCAGGCCTGGCTGAGGGCCCCAGCGCTGCCAGCGGGGTCTGAGGTCCTCCCAACCCTCGAAGGGGAAACTTGAGCTTCTCAGGCCAGCCCAGGACGTGTTCTCAGGAACCACAGCAGGCGCCTCTGGCGGAGAGGAGTCTGCCTCATTCAGGATCCGTAGCGTTGTATCTGAAATTATGCAACTACCCAAACCCTTCCGAGTGCTGAGCAGCCCCGCGCAGAGCCCTCCCCACGGGGCGGAGGGAAGTCCACTCGGGCGTGAGGACTATCCCCGGGCCCCTTGGAGAGTCTGCAGAGGCAGCCCCGGGGGAGCAGGCCCGGGCGGGGGTCTCCTGCAGCGGGCAGGGCTTTGGTATTAATCCCTAACGGGAAAGAGGAGCTGAGCTGCCGGCACGTTGGTTGGCTACACACCCCACTCTTGTTAAAGAAAAACGGGGTCGGGGAGCGGGTTCTCCAGCCCTGTGCCTCCCGGGCCTGGCAGGACGCGGCCCCTCCCGGAGTCGGGGCCCCCAGGCGGGGGAGGCACCGGGGCGAGCGCGCTTCTCCCCCGGGGCCCCGAGTGCGGCCGGCTCTGGACGGTAAATTCAGGGCCCGGGTGGAGGCGACGGGGTCCCGGGCCTCGGTGACCCCGGACAGCAGCGGAAAGAGCGAGACCGCAAGGACAGGCTGCCCGGGAGCGCACGGCGAGGCGCGAACGCGGGAGGCGGCGGCGGGAGAGGCGGGAAGGGAGCGCGGCGGCCGCGGCGCCATTTACGGTTCGGGCCGCGCAGGGCGCTGACGTGGGCGGCCCTGCCTCGGCTTCCGGGCCCAGCAGGGGCCTCGGGGCGGACGGCGCGCCCGCCTGCGGCGCTGAGTCCCGCCCGACGCTGCCCGTCTTCCTCGGGGACGGGCGGCTTAGAACGAACGGAACTCCGCGCCCCGGGGCTCCGCCAGGCTGCAACCCGACCGGCTTCCCGCCGGGCTCCCGCCCCGCCCAGTCCCGCGGCCGCGCCCCGGCCGGGCGGGCCTTGAGCCGCCCGCGTGAGTCCGCCCGCCGCCCGCGCCGGGAACCAGGAGACCAACCGCGAGGCCCCGCCCGCGCGCGCCGCCGTGTCCCCGCCCGCGCGGTCGTCCGAGCGCGGCTCAGCGGCGCGGCGGAGACTCGGCACGGCGGCGGCCAGGCGCAGGCGGGCGGGCAGAGCAGCGGACGGCGCCGAGGCCGCCCCAAGCGCCGGGCTCCCGGCGGCGGAGCGCGCCGGAGTGGTCGGGGCCCGCGGCCACCCGCGCCTCTCGATGGGCAGCTCGCACTTGCTCAACAAGGGCCTGCCGCTGGGTAAGGCCGCGCGCGCGCGCGTTTCCGGCCGCGGGCGGGGGCGGGGCGGGGCGGAGGCCGCGCGGGCGGGGGGCGGGGGGCGCGGGGGCGGGTTGAGCGCGCGCCCGCAGACCGCCGGCTTTGTGTGCGAGTGCGCGTGCGCGTCAGCGCCAGCGCGTAGCCGCGACCGGGGGCGGGACCGCGGGTGGGGTGGTGCGCATGCGCGGATTGCAGCGTGCCGGTGCGCGTGCGCGAGCGCCGTCGTCCGCCCGCCCCGCCCGCGGCCCGCGCAGGTGACACAAAGGGGCCTGCGGGCCTCTTGGCTGCGCCGCCGGATCCCCGGGTCCACTGGCCCCAGCCCCACGGGTCCCGGGACGGCCCCCTGAGTCCCGATCCCCGGCCGCGACCCAGTCCCCGGTCATGACCCCGCGGTTGGGCCTGCGGGGCCGAGGTGTGGGGTGCGCCCTGCGCAGCTCGGGACGTTCTGGGGCGCGCGCTCCCGGGGCCACTCGCGGGAGCGCGCCCTGCCCGCCCGGGGGCTGGCGCGCTGTGGGGGAAGGGGACGGGGCCCGGCACCGGGTCTGACCGCGGAGGAGGCCGCCGCCCTCAGACGGTGCCCAAAGCGCAGTGCCCGGCGGTGACGCGGGAGGGCCCGGGGGTCTCCGTCCCCACGAAGTCCCCGACCGGCCCGGCGCCCTCGCCTCCTCGTGCCTGGTGCCGCCCTGGTCCTGGGGCGCCTTCCCCGCGGGCTGCGGAAGCAGCGAGCTTGGGCCGGCGCCGGGCCCGTGGGCATCGCCATCTTGCAGTGCCGCGTTCTGGGCCGTCCCGGGCCGTTCCGCGGAGCCTCTGTCCCCACCTTCGACTCGGCTGCAAAGGCGGAGCCAGTGCGCCTGAGCCCCGGGCCGAGGCTGGAGCCTTCTCTGCCCGGGAGCGGCCTCCAAGGGCACCGGTGTCTAGAAGCCGGGTCGGGGCCAGAGTCCCTTCTAGTGGGGAAAAGGAAGGGCGGTCTCGCTGTTCCCGGTGCTCCGAGTTGGGGAGGTGAAACCCTGAGAGCCGGGGTTACAGGGCCCGGAGTCTGGCCGAGGCGGCGGGTGCGCAGGGTGCTCCGTGGAGCTCCGTGGAGCCCGAACCCCCCCGAGTCCTCTCCACCGTGTGTGAAGGAGCTCGGCAAGGAGTGCACGTTCCTCAGGGAAAAAAAGGCGCTGGCGGCTGGGCCTCACCACGGCTGTCCCCCTGAGCTAGCGCAGTGACCTCGGCCGTCCCGGCCTTTCCCGGCCAGCGGGTGGCCTCTGCGCGGCTGCGTCTCCAGCTGTGACTTGGGGCAGTGTTGGGGCAGCACCGTGGGAGCTGAGGATGACAGCTCCGGGTTGTGGGACCGTTGCAGCTGAGGATGACAGCTGCGGTTTGTGGGACCCCTTTCTCTGTCCTGGAACTTTGTCGGGCGTGGCTCTTCCCTGGGCCTCAGTACCAGGCCTCCCGGGTCTCCCCTGCTGGCCCAGGCTTGGCCACCTCTTTTTGGGGTCTGGGCTTGGCTCCTGGTTGGTGTTGTCGGCTCCGGAGACGCCTTTTGCTCTCTGTGGTTCTGTCACCCATCTTTGAGCACCTGCTTCTGTCTGTGAGTCGTCTGCAGAGCTCTGGAAGGGACATGCACTGGGGGTCGCATCTGGTCACTCCTGATGGTGCCTCGTCTGCCTGCCCGGCCATTTTTGGGGTGTCTGCCATGTCCCCAACGTGCACTTCATCCTGTCATGTTTGACGAGGACAGTGATTAGTTCTGAGAGGTGGACGTATGGTTGGGGATGTCAGTAAGTGGGATCTTCCCTTCTACACATTTGTCATTAACCTCAGGATACGGCAGTGGGGGAGAGGAGGCTTGGCCCGGGGCTGGTCCTGTCCCTCTGCTGAGTGGGCTGAGCCTGGGCCCAGTCCGTTGGGCTTGAGTCGCCCCCGCCAGGCTGGCCCTGTCTGCCTCCCCCAGGGTCAGGAGCCACCACTCTTTGGACATGTGTAGTGTAAGGTTCGGTTATCCAGCAGACAGCCACTACTCACAGCCACTCTGCGAGTAAATCTTTGCTGCGGAACCCTGGGCAGAAGCAGCGCCGCTGTCCAGGAAACAGGCTCAGGCTGGAGAAGCCCTCTCACTTCCTTGGGGCTCAGAGGTGGCGTCCAGCCACACCGGGCTCCCCACCAGCCTGGTAGTTTTTCTGGTTTTTCTCCCCTGACTGTCGCCTTTTCAACTTCTTGTGGCCAGCACTTCCAGAGTGTGACCTGGCCTGAGCTGACAGTGCCATCCCAGAGCCAAGAGGTGTGCGGCTGGCACCACGAGTCTTGCTGAGAAGGCTTCCTGCAGTGCTCTGTGCCCAGCTGTGCCCTGGCACTCCCCATGCAGTGCCCAGGTCAGAGTGTGTGCCCTGTGAGGTGTTTACCTCGGGTGACTCTCCTTCCAGAAGAACTTGTTTTCCACTCCACTCGGGGCTGGAGAGGGCTCCGTGCAGGTGGTGCTGATGGGGTGCTGTTGAGGCCTGGCTCAGGGCCCGGGGTGGCCAGGAGGTGGTGGAGGCTGCAGGGGTTGCTGTATGGGTTCTGTGGTTGAACTGCGTCGCCCGAGGGAACACTGATCAGCGCCTGGTCAGAGCGCCGGGGTCCTCTGGTGGGCAAAAACTCTGTGCTGGGAGCATCTGGTCCCCCGGGTCCTCCATTGTCTGCTGCAGTGGCCGGAGCCCACTGCTGTTCCCCCCCCCACTGGGTTGGGGTAACCTACAAGGTGCCACCTGTGTTACTTGACTGTCCCTTACAGCAGTCCTTCCAACCACACACTTAATGTGGTGTCTCCCTTGAGGAAATGTTTGTTTTTTTTCTGTGAATCCGGAAATCTCTTGGATGGTTCTTTGTCAAGCCGAACACTGACCTTGACTTGTCCCTCTGGGTGGCCCCAGGCAGTGCCAGCTTGTGTGTGTTGAAGGACAGTGAGGATGGTCCGCGGGAAGCCCAGTAGGTCCAGGGTTGGTTTGGATGGGGAGGCACTGGGGCTGTGGCCCTGAGAGGCGTGGGTGGTGGTGGGACCAGGCCCCTTCCGCACCCTCCCCTGGCACCGCCATCAACTCCCCAGGCCGGATGGGGCCCGTGCTTCCCTGGCCTGCTGCTCCTCTGTGGTGTGCGGGCTGCTAGGCTGCCCTGTCTGCCTGGCTGGCATGAGGCTGAGGCATCCGAGACTGCCTCTCAAGCAGTATCGTGTGTAGAACGTCCTGTTGGGAGGGCCAGGAAGGGGGTAGCCCAGCTACCCCACACGTGGTAGGAGCTGGGAAGGTGGCGTTCTGGGGGATGCTGGAGCTCACAAGGCGTCTGCATGTGCTCGCTGAACAAACGTGGGAACGTGTGAATCCACGAAGTCCTGGAGAGGAGTCTTGGTGGCAAACCCGTGCCTTTGATTACAGCTCCTACTCTGTGTTCTCTGAGCTGCGGCGTGGCCCCACAGGCCCTGTGGAGCGCCGTGGCTCCCTGGCTCACAGGGTGCTGTCGTCGGAGGTGCCGCGTTGGCCCATGGGTGGCCGGCGGTGTCTGTCTGGGGGAAGTTCTGGTGGCCCCATGCTGTTGTGGGGCTTCCTCTTGGCGGACTGGCCTTCTCTGTTATTACAGGCAGGGACTCAGTTCCCTTGGGGCATCAGGCGGCTGCATCTCGGGGCTGGAGGGCTCTGGGTCAGGCTGTGTGCAGCCTTCATCGCTGTCAGCCCCTGTCTGGGCAGCTCAGCCTGGACAGCCAAAGGAGGCATCTCACCAATGCCCAGGTGGCTGTGCCAGGGGACTCATGGCAGGACAGCTTTGTCACGAGAAGGCCACTGGGGGCAGTGCCGGACTTTTAGCCCAGAGTCATCAGGGCTTATGGGGAGAAGGCAGGGTGAGGGCCGGTGAGACTGCCAGCCCAAGGGTGCCCTTCTGGAGGTTGGGGAACGCCTTCCTGGGCAGCAGCTTTAGTGGCTGCTGTGGGGAGGGGGAAGAAGATGGGGTTGGTGAGGAAGGGCCTTGGGGACTCATATTCTGGTAGAGGCCGTGGGGGACGGCAGGGGACTGGCCCTGGGGACTTGGCCCAGCAGGGCTGACCTGCGGAGGGACTTGGAGGGTCGGCGGCTGCCGAGGCTGTGTCCGAGCAGGCCGGGATGGGGCCAGGCACTGAGGCTGGGGAAGGAACAGTGCTGTCGTGGTGAGTTTGGACAGCTGAGTCTGACATCTCATCAGAGCTCTAGGAGGAGATAAGAGCCAGCAGAGGACTCCCAACCCCCAAGTCCTACCTGAGGGGACTGGCGCAGCCTGGGCTGGAGATGACCCCAAGCAGCTGCTTGGTTCTGGCACATCTTGGAGTCTCCTGGGACTTCCTGCAAACCCAAAGCCCAGAGACCTTCTGTGGCTATCTGGTGGGGGGGGACAGGTCCCAGCCTCTGGTGACCCCCGGAGTGCAAGGGGCTACCCTGGTCTCTCTCCAGAGTGGACCGATGCCCAGCACACACGTGACTTAGGGCCGAGTGGGCAGGTGTGGCCAACAGGAGGGAGGATCCGGCAGGCAGCTGGTGATGTGTGCAGAGATGGCTTTGGCACATGGTCTGGAGGCCCTAGGGTCATCCTCTCCAGAGGCATCAAGTCCCACCGTGCAGCCTCCTGGGACTTGATGCCTCCGGAGACCCTGGGGGCTGTTGCCCCTCACGTCAACCTCGTCTTCTTTAAAAGAAATTTTTTTGTTAGAATAGTCTGAGATTTGCAGGAAAGTGAGAAAGCTAGCACAAGCTTCGGGTGCGCCCCACATTCAGTTTCCCCTGTGGGTCTGTTGAGGGCTTTCTTACAATGTGAGGTTAAGTCGAAGGAGGCCCCAGCGTCTGCAGGATGTGAACCTGGAGACTGTCCTCATGTTGCGGAACTGAGAGCCATGTGTGGCCGTGAATTTTTAATAAGGAAGAGCAGTGTGGGTCCTGGGTTTGGATGGTGCAGGCCCCTCTGGGAGCTATGTGCCTTCATCTCGGAGCGTGTGACGGAGATATAGACTGGAGCCCTTGACTCCCAACTGGCCAGCTAGGAGGGCTGTTGGGAGGCCAGCTCCCTGGCATGAGGTGCCCAGGGCCTCCGGACATCGCACCTGTTGGGAGCTCCGGGACTCGGACGCTGGGTGTCAGTGCGGGAGGTTCGGCCTGGCAGGGGGCTGCTTTGTGGGTGCACCGTGGTCCCAGGGTAGGGCAGAGGGTGGGCAGACCTCCCCCAAAGTTAAGGACAGTCTCACCCCAGGGCTGTTTCAAGACAGAGGCCCCTGGAGGAAAACCAGGTCCTGTCCCTCAGGTGTCTGTCCTGAACCGGGGCAGCCTTGGAACAAGGAGCCGCAGGAAGTCCCTGTGGCACAGGGTGCAGCCCCTCAGCACTGGCAGGGCCAGCCCCGGGAGCAGAGGGCCACAGGAGCCCTGTCACAGGTCCCTTAGTTCGGGAGCCCATGCCTCCTCACTGCAGGGTCCTTCAGGAGGGCCAAGGTGGCCTTCCCATATCTGCTTCCTCCTTGGAGCCACAGGTGTGGGCAAGTACTGGGCGGTTCTGACAAGCACTGAGTAGCATTGAGGGGTATCTAAGAGTCTCCAGGAGCAGCAGCCGGTGCCGTGTTACCATGGGCAGTATTGATGAGTATTGGCCAGTCTTGAGGAGCAGCAGCCAGTACCGGGCCGCCATGGGCAGTATTGATGAGTGTCTGCCGGTATTGATGCGTTTGGCTGGGCATGGATGATGCGGCACCTTGTCCCCTGGCCAGGCTTGCTTGTGGTGGAGGTGTAACATTGAGGCTGTTTTCTCCTGTCCTTTTAGTTTCTGTTTTTACGCAGGATCAAGGTGCAGTGGGTGGGGGCAGGGGTGGGGGGGTTGGAGGGGGCGGGGACCCCGCTGTCGAGGCCCAGCACAGGTTGTCGGGGGCCCAGGCTCAGGCAGGGGGATCCCACTCCACCGTGTTGCTCTAGGGTCCTCCATAGGGGAGCCCCACGTAGCGCCTGCCATGAAGAGTGGCGTCAGGGACCCTGGATGGGAGGTGTGTTCGTGTGTGGGGCTGCACCGCATGCAGTGGTGTCTCTGGAGGCTGGAGACGGTCGGCAGGTGTGCTTGAATCCTGCAGAGGGAAGTGAGGGGCGGAGACTCGTCTGTAAGGCCTCTGGCAGGGGCGGCCTCCCAGCGCACCCCCAGGGTCTTAGGCCGGGCTGAGCAGCACCTCTTGGCCTGGCAGGCAGTCGCCTCTGCCTGTGCCTGCGCACTGCGGCTGGTGGCCGGCTCCTGGCCTGGTCCGCCAGACATCAGCTGCACCTTGGGGTCAGCCCCTGTGTGGTGTCTTCATGCCAGAGCAGGGGCCGGATGTGGGCGGCTCAGTGACACCCTCCCCAGGGCCGGGTGATCATGGGCACTCCCAGCTCCCTGTACATCCCAGGGCTGCGTGCCTGGAAGGCGTGGCCCCTCAGGTGCCCCCCCGCCGCTGTGCATTTGGCCATCAAGGTCCGTGCCCTCAGCTTCCTGCCAGGCCCTGGCCTAGCAGTCAGGAAGAGCTGAGCAGTGCTTTCGGGACAATCAAGGGAGCGTCGCTGGGGTGCTCTGAGGGCCAGAGGTGGAGACGGCATGGCCCAGGGCTGGCAGTGGCAGGCTGGATGCTGAAAACCCGGCAGCACCTTTCCCGGTGGCTCCTGGGAATTGGTCACATGAGATAGAAGCTTCCAGAACAGTAGGCAGAGCCTTCCTCAGTTTCCCTGCCCACAGCACGCACCCTCTGTCCTGTCCTCTGTCCCCTGGTTCTTGGACACTGGGGACATCTGGGTGCAGCTAGAGCCTGTGGGGGTGGCCTTAGCCCTGGGGGGCGGTTCCCAAGAGGTGGCATAGGGGCCACTGGAGCCCGGTCTCGGGCCTGGCACTGCCACCTCGGGGTGAGTGCCCCTCACATGTTTGGCGGGAGCCAGGGCCCCTGGCTGACGGCAGGCCCCTGAGTCCAGGTAGGTCCCAGCCAGCAGCCCTGGGTGTGGCAGCTGCAGCGAGGTCCACGTCTGTGGCGTTTCCTGGAGTCTGTGAGTTCTGGTCGGACCTTTGATGGCGTTTTAATGTGTCTCTTGTGTTTGATTTTTAGTAAGACTTTGACCCCGACGCAGGCTTCAGTGATTGCCGTGGATCAGAAGCCTGAGCGCTTTGGCTCGAGACAATTAAGGACGTGGGATGAGGCTCCGAGACAGGACGCGGTTCTGCCTGGGGATCCTGAAGATAAAAAGCTTTGAAAAGTCGAATTCATGGTCGTGGAAGCCGAGCCCATATTAAGAGATGTCAGGTTGGTAGGGGTTCCTGGCGTCTGCAGCAGAGCGAAGCTGGCTGGTCTCTCTGTGACCTTGTGGAGGAGGCACTGCCTCAGATGAAGTCCAGGGACCTGGGCTGTGTGGGCATTGGGCCCGATTGCTGCCACCCGGCCCCCAGTGCGCTCTGGGCGAGGACAGGCATCCTCTGGGAGGGTTTCCTGCATGCTTGGCGGCAGAGCACAGCTGTGGTCCGTCCTGTCCGTGGCGTCTGCTGTTTCTGCCGGAAAGTGTCTAAGGGGCACGGAGGGCATGCGGGGCCCACCAGAATGAGGACGGAGCCCCACATGGAACCCTGGAAGTCCCAGGTGTCCACCTGGCTTGCCCCAGAGCAGGGCTGTGGCCCCGGGGGAGCTGTTTCTAGTGGTTGGTCTGTGTTCTCTGGCCCAGAAGTGCGTGCAGCCGGAAAACAGCCCCAGGCTGAGGGGGTGCTGCAAAGCGTGCTCCAGCACGGGCCGTGTGACTGCGCGGCCTCCTGGGCATGTCCACAAGCCTGTGAGGGCGAGCAGTCTGGTGGGACCTGGGTACGGTGGGTGGGGGCAGCTGGTGGGTGATGCAAGGAGGCACCTTGGGTACCTGACTGGTGGGGCCTGGCGTCTCCACCTACCCCTCCTGGCTCCACTCACCCAGCACCCAGGAGTCCTCCCAGGCGGTTTGGACGCAGCCGCGTGATCTGTTGTGGTTCCCACTGTTGCGTTCTCACCATGACACCAGCCCAAGTCCCCATGTTCGCTGGCAGGGGTGGTTCAGACTTTGCACTGAGATGGCCCGTGAGCTATGGGCCTGTGGGGTTCGCGTGTTCACACCTTCCTCATCACAAGTGAAGTCCAAGGATGCTATGAGTAGACGTCTGAGCACTCACTCAGAACAGCAATGTAAACCACACCCAGCAGTAACCACCGCCACTTGTGGTAGGGAGCCAGACCATGCACTGTGTCACTGGGGGCTGTAGGAGGGGGACCTGTGGTGCGTCACTGGGGGGCTGCAGGAGGCGGATGTGTGGAGTGTCACTG